GCTACTCATTAACAATGAGACTATATATTTCTATGGTTTATTTATGTGGTTCTTTCCTTGAAACAAATCCATCAGGTCCTATCTTCATATAGAAATTAAAAGTTCTACATCCAACACACGTGATCAACATAAAATAAACAAAATCTTATAATACAAACATGTCTTAGAATTTTCAAAACATTATAATTGTCATTAGATTTACGATAAACCTTTCTTTAAAGATTTCTGCTACTGTCTGATATTCATAACTATAAAGATATAATGAACAAAATTACACTACTCAATAATATGTTTATTTTTGTGGTTCTTTCGTTGAAACAAATCCAAGTGGTCTTATTTTCATCTCAGTTTTCTTCAGAGAATATTTATGTCCTTTCCAATGATACCAATTAATACCAACAGCGGATTCTTCATGTGGTCCCCCCAGATATAAACCGTTTAAATTAGAGTGATGACATTCATTATACCACCAGCTACCTTTGTAGGTCGTGGCACAGTTCTTCACCCATTTATCATTATCTCTGTCCCTCGTGGAAAACATCATGTTATTATGGATTGAAAGTGAGTCCCTTGTTTTTAGGCGCAATAAGAATATCATCAAAACGTTGACTCACGAAACCCGATTGTTGCGTCAGAATTTTAGGTCATGTAATGTATGCTTTACTCAGATATTTTTATAAAATATGTGTTTGTATTCTTCTGTTGATTATTAAAATCTACTTTTATTTTTACTTTCTTTAAGAAATGATTCTCACAAAAACCAAACATTAGTTCTTAGAATCCTTTTATCTGTTCTAAACCCTCAGATATTTCTCAAAAACATTGTACACCCTGTTAAAGATAATGTACTTTAGTACCATTTATCATTGGTAAGAACAGATAAAAGGATTCTCTGAGGGTTTTAAATGGTACTAAAGTACATTATCTTTAACAGGGTGTACAATGTTTTTGAGGAATATTTATTGGTAGATAGCGATAAATAAATGTATATCATGACAAGTTATATTTATAATTTGTTTAATCTACGGAATGAAACTTCTCACCTGCGTCACCCTTGTACGTTTTATAACTCATTTTATACAGTTCTCTTTCACTTCGCACAAAGAACTCATCGTATTCTGCATATCTTTGACCACCTTCCATATCTTCTAAATCGATTCGAAGTACCATATTGTTTTGATTGGTTAAAGCGAATATGATGTCATTTCCTAGAATATGGAATATACAAAAATATAGATGTATTATGTATGAAAAGTATCAACATTACAAGAAATATTCTAAATTTGTATTAATTGTTTTTGATTTTTATTTAATAAATAACTTTACAATAGTTTTAAAAGAAAAAAAAAGGAATACCTAACCAAAATTCTCTAGTTAGATTTCCAAATCCAGATTTGTAACGAGTCCACGTTTGGTAAAAGTCCTCAACCGGGTCTCCAAAATCGCCCCTTCTTTGAATTAACTAATAAAA